AATGAGGACCCAGACTGTGGGGGCGATATGCTGACTCTCTAAACCACTTAGAGAGGGCTGAAAGCCCTATGAAGCGGTATATAAGTCTAACTGCTATTGCTATTGCTATTCGATTGGTCCCTAAATGAAAAGGTTTAATTTGAGGACTGTCTCTACATTTGAGGTGGAAAAGCCCGATTTCGAAGATATTCAGAAAACAGGCAATTTATGCAACGAAAGGAGGAGACTTTTAAGATCAGATTAGACAACCCTTTGTCTGAAATGGTGTTGGGTCTCTTGCTTGAGCAGGGGGTTGGACTAGAAGACCTCCAAGGTCCCTTCCAGCCCTATGAATCTATGTTCTAAAAGAGGTTGAGTTGAAATCTGGATTTGAGAGATTTCCTGACAGTTAGAACAATTAATCAGTGGAGCTCCTTGCCTCCAGAAGTTGTGAATGCTCCAACACTGGAAATTTTTAAGAAGATGTTGGATAACCATTTGTCTGAAGTGGTGCAGGGTCTCCTGCCTAAACAGAGGGTTGGACTGGAAGACCTTTGAGGCCCCTTCCCACTCTGTGATTCTGTAACTACGCTGCTGGCACAGGGCGAGGAAAGAGACGCCAGCCAAGAGCTGGTGACCCTAGCTGCCCCCTTCTCCTGGCATTGCCTTCCTTACATTTGCTACCTGAAGCAGTTTTTATGACTGCAGTAATTCCATTAGAGTCCGTTCTGGCACACATCGGGCTCTTGGAGTGCCAACTTTGGCATCTTGTGGGCAGGAGGAGCAACTGCTTAAGACACGTCCGCTCCATCCTTCCCTCTGAATTCGGCTGAACCCCAAGTGCTCCCACATTTCTGAGGATTAGGACATCTGCTCCGTGTTAATTTGTCCATTTCATTTGTATCCAACCTTTATTAGTTTTGCAAATAATTCAAGGCAGGGAACATATTGCACCCAGCTTCCTCCTTGTTTTCCCCCTGCAACAACAGCCCTGTGAGGTGGGTTGTGCCGAGAGGGACTGGCTGAAAGTCACCCAGCTGACTTGTATCACTAACGAGGGTCTAGAACTCACCATCATCTGGTGATTGGCCCAAAATCACCCAACCGGCTTTCATGTCGAAGATGGGACTAGAACTCACCATCTCCTGGTGATTGGCCCAAAATCACCTAGTCGGCTTTCATGCCTAAAATGGGATAAGAACTCACCATCTCCTGGTGATTGGGCAAAAATCACCCAGTGGACTTTTATGCCTAAGACGGGACTAGAACTCACCATCTCCTGGTGATTGGCCCCAAATCACCCAGTCAACTTTCATGTCTAAGATGGGACTAGAACTCCCCATCGCCTNGTTGGGGGCAATATGCTGACTCCGTAAACCGCTTAGAGAGGGCTGAAAGCCCTATGAAGCGGTATATAAGTCTAACTGCTATTGCTATTGCTATTACTCTTTCCTATGTTTCTTTCTCTGACCCCTAAGGAACTGTGAGCTCTGGGCTTCTTGCCTGATTCATAGGCAGCATCTCTTCCTCTCTTTTCTTAATGCCATTTACATATTCCATTATATCTGTCTAATACGTGGTTCTTTCATCTAGCAAAGAGCAAACAACCTGAAACCAAATCAATTTGTTACAACACAAGTTTTTAAATGCTATTATTTCCCCAAAACATAAGACTCTCAAGCCATTCCATTGTAGAGACCAAGGAGAAAGGTGCAAAGTTTTAATATTCTTTTGTTACAAATAATGGTTTGCATTCTACATAACTGTTAGTGGGTTTTGTCTAAGCTGTGTCCTTGAATCACTGCCTGGAATTAACCATGAGAAAGCTAAGTCTAGACAAAGAAATTAAGTATCTTGGCAATGCAGGCAGGAGATCTTTGAATCAATTATTTCAGAACGACATGTGTATTTACTATAGTTACTAGGTTTTGTCTTTCATAAAAGAAAATGAGCTTTGCCACGAGGCTTTCTTTCAATTATCATCTAATAATAGAGCTGATTTTATCTTTCAGGTGTGGACTCGGGGCTCAAATCAAATGGCAGCCATTACCACAATAGAAGCCCTCCATCTTTCTTACATGCACCACACATTTAAAATGGGAGTCGGGATTTAATTGTGCAGTAACAACAACTGTCTGGGCTTTTTTCTACCCCCTACTCCCAGTATCCCTTAGTTGTCTTACTTTGTGATCAATTGTTCATTGATCTGTCAGCTCTCTGGAAACTTATATCCCAAAGGAAAGATAAATATTTATTTTTAATGATGAAGTAATGCCAAGAAAGGGGGGAAATCCCTGGTGAGGATTTCAATTTTGAAAGATTAAGTCTGTAGCCAGATTCATATAGCATGTGATTTTGTTTATTTTTGGCTTGGCATCTTGTATAAATCTACCGTATTTTTGGAGTATAAGACACACCTTTTTTCCTCCAAAAAAAGGTGAAAACCTGTGTGCATCTTATATACTGAATGCAGCATTTTTGGCCTACTGAAACCCCACCCCCTTTGCAAAAATTGATGTGCAGAGGGTTTGGGAGGCTTGCAAATTGCTCCTGAGGGCTGAGGAGGGTAAAAAAGAGCAAAAAATGGGCCGTTTTTGCTCATTTTTGCCCAGCCCCAGGAGCACTTTGCAAGCTTCCTAAAGGCTATGCGTGCCCTTTTTTTTGCAAAAAATAAGGTGTGCAGAGGGTTTGGGAGGCCTGCAGAGTGCAAAAACTTTTTTTTAAATTTAACTCTTCAAAATCATGGTGCGTTTTATACTCCGAAAAATGTGGTAATTGCTTTGGTTCCCAAATTATCTTTATGTTTCAAAATTATATAAAATTAGGTTATTATAATTGGTTTAAAACACCATAATTAAAGCACAATAAATTTTATTGTTTCCCACCCATTATTTTATTAAGTCTTATTAAGACTTCACAATTTGTATAATAATATGATGTGTTCATCCCTGAAAAAGCCACTACACAGCCAGACAGCATACATTTTACAGTACTTCCCTACCACCTCCTTTGGGGAAATGTATTAATGTGGCCAATTCAATTTTCATCATAGGTTATTATAGAAGAGAAAGCAGGAAATACCTGAAGTGAAAAATACTCAAAATATTCTCTTCAGAATAGATTTAGAACAATATATTTGGTTAGCTAGCAGGAGAACAAGAGTTAGGATAGGCTATCAGTGTCCAAGCAAAGCATATTGATTTATGAGTTCTGAGTCGAGGGTCCTCTAGTTGTTGTCCAATGATAAGTTTATAGTAGAATCTTGATTTAAATCAGTACTATAAAATAAGCATATTATAGGCTTATCTAGGCTGAGACTAGTATCTATAGATCTATAGAACATTGAGATGGTGTTAAACCTTCACCTCTTCTGCTTCGTTCCTGAAATGTATTAATACCTCTCTTCCTCCTGGGGAGGTTAAATAAGGAATAAAGCATCCAAGAGGCTACTGTTGCTGTCAGCTATTTACTATATAACTAACTGGCTACAATCATAGCATATAACTATTTAGTTTAAGAGTTCTTATGAGGCATAATTATATTGAAATTAAAAACTGTTATAATTTTTCCAAAACTAGCTTCTCGTTTCAGTTACATTTTTTTCTAACCAATGAAAAAATACCATCAAAATACTTCCTTTTGTCCCTTGATAGAGTAACTAACACAAACCCTGTTCAATGTTAGCATCCAGCTTCTTTTATAAATGCACAGACTCTTTTGGCTGGGTCTGTTTTGTACCAAGGTTTAGGCAGCAAAGGGAATGACTCAGCTGCAGTCACTCTAAATCTCAATGCAGAGTCCAAGATGACTCAACAAAACTGCCTTACAGACAAGGCCTCATCAAGGCTGTGTTTTCATAAAATGATATTTATGCTACCATCAA